ACACACACACACACACACACACACACACACACACACACACACACACACAGAAGTAGGTGTATAGAGAGAGAACAGGAGAGTATACTGAAGGTCACATCATAGTAGAGCTGCTACATTGTGGTTGTATTGATGAGTAGAGGTGAGAGTTGGGCTTTGTTTATCAGGAGATTTTCTTTCTTTTTTTTGGGGGGGGAAGTTCGGTTATGGCACAAAGAGAGTTTGAAAAAGGGCAACAAAATCACACCTGGGCAACAAACTCGCGCCCCGAGTTTGGAAGGGCAACAAAATCATTTTTACCCGCGCGCCGCGTTTGAAAAGGGCAACAAAATCGCACGCAGGCCACAACCATTTTTGCCGATATCGCCCTTTTCAAACTCTGCACCCGATTTTGTTGCCCGCACATGTTTTTTTTGCCCTTTCGAAACTGAAAGTGTGACACTGCCGGACTTCTTTTTTTTTTTTTTTTTCCTTGTTTTCTGAAATATGCAGGCTGCCTTCTCCTCATATGGGGGGACAGCTGCATTTACTGTGCTATTTTCTTCTCTCAATATTTTCCATCTCACACTACCCCCTTCCTCGGGCTGTGTACTCGAACTGATATACCCGCCTTCTGGACCTGCAAGGGGCACGGCGATCCCACCAGCAAGGAATCCAGCTCTATGTTTCGAAGGCCGACTACTGGGTTTAGTGTCGAAGACTCTAAAGAGTCTAAACCACCTATACTGTACGGGTGCAGAATCAGATCTTAAATTCAGGAGACAGTCCTGACTCCTAAGCTATCCAAAGGTTAATACGGGTCTACCTAGTAAGCTATCCTAAGGTTGTGGCCCTTGTGGGTCTACGCCTACCTATCTCTGCTCAGTACAGGGAGCAGTACCCAAGCTCCGACACCTGGCACGAGCAGGAAAGAAGTTCAAAGAACCAATTACTTCCACAACCAGCCAGGAGCCCCAAGCCAACAGTCTCCAGCGGTGAACCCGAAGCATACCCCCAGGAAGTCGCGGGAATGGAAAGGACGACGTTGGGTATCGAACCAACGACCTCCTGAGTGCGTGCTCAACCAACTGAGCTAGCCCGGAGATTTTCAGTGTGACTCTATTTGTGTTTTTCCTTGCTTTTAAGACTGAGATAACAGACTGTCCTCTTTTTTCTGTACTGAGCACTTAGAACACATAGAATTCTGAATTCTGCTGTGTGTCACCACCCGTGCGTTTGTAAAGTTCGATATATATCTAAAGACTCGCAAAGAGCGACGATGGTTTCGACTTGGCGCTAGGAGTGTTCGGTGTTAGCACTTTTTTTTTTTTTTTTTTTTTTTTTTTTTTTGGGTCGGTGTTAGTACTCATGTGTGTGTTCTCGGCTTTTTCTAATTTGTAATTCTTCTTTCGACTTTGCTGATATATGCTTGTCCTGCTTGGACACTTCAAAGTTACGGCTGGGAAAATTTGTGTTCCCATTGATTAGCACCTTGCGTTCGCCAAAACAAAACAAAAACAAAAACAAAAACAAAAAAGTTGCACATAAGGATTAATGTTAATATTTATTATGCACATCCCATACCCTGTATAGTTTTTGTTTTTTTTTTGGCTAGAGTCTAGAGCATATATTACGCACACTACGAATTTCCGCGAGTTTCCTCTGCGTTGCAGGCCATGGCATTGCAGTGTGGTGTCCTGCCTGCATCATGACACGGCTGTTTGATCTCCTTGCTGCAGGTTTATGTGGATAGACTTATCAAGTCGGCATATGAGAATTGGGAGAAAGTGATCGAGTTCGAAGGATCAGACGTCGTTGGACATGATATGAATATCATGCGGCCGATGTGGATGAACCCCAACAGCTACAAGACGGCGGTCCCTGCAGCAGCAACCCCTCTTCGCTCAAGAGGGGTCTTAGGGGTCTCCGCTGTCCCCATTGGATCAGGGTCCCAGATGCAGCCCCAGCATAGTCGAGATCGACAACGGTCGTCATCAGCGCAGAGGGCTCTCCACTGGTCTTCTGACAAGGAGCCACCGGCAGCAAGCACTTTGAGCAGTCAGGACATCACTTGTCACGTGGCGGCACTATAGACCAATTCCCAAGTGGTGCTATAGACCATAGACCACTTGCCAAGTGGCGGCACTATAGACCGCTTGCCAGCTGTCGTTATAGACGGCTTGACGAGTGGTATAGTTGCATCGGACAGCCAAGTGGCATCGTGGAGTCGTAACACCTATCATGTAAAGAATGCAGTCATCCTCAAGTCAGCGAGATTGACGGTCGAGCGTAACTACACTCGATGCGTCGTGAGATGGGTGTTAAGTCACAGTTAAGACTTTCAAGGCAAAATATCAGACTTCTGGAAGTTCCAAGGAATGATTTTTTTTTTTAGAAGGTAGGTCTCCCACAAAATGAAGGGCACAGTTGAGGCAGTTACGGTCCTCGTGATGTCATCATGATCTCGGGAGAGGAGGAACGCCAAGCTCGACCTGGCGATTTCTTAAAGACTTTGCAGACAAGGAAAGGACTACCGTCAGTCGGAGGACGAGGAGGTGGTGATGTTGAAGGTTCTACTTCAAATTTGAATTCTTGACAGTCCTGCAATCCAGCAGAATTTCCCAAAGCCTGAGTGTGCTTCTAAATTCTAATCCTGTAAGTAGTTACTACATCTTTCCATCTTTCCATCTTTCCAACTTTCTGTCGTTCACTCAACTTTTCAAAGCTTCGAACCCGTGAACTACTTCGTCGAAGTCAATTGCACATACCATTGCTTGTTTCTTGTTCAGCTCTTTTGTCTGTCTTGTAGAGGCAGCTGGACGAGAGTTGCCACACTCGTCCTGGGAAAAAGGGAACTCCCCCCCCCCCACACTCTCTCCTTGCTCGACTTTGGCAACTTTAACGGCACCCGCCTCCCCCCCCGTCCCGCCCCCACTTCCTTGCTTGACGTCCGGCTCTTGCCCTGCAAGCGGAAGGCAAGTGGAAGCGAAGGTGACGCAGAAGATGCCAGATAAGTCAAAAGAGAGGGAGAAGGGGGAAACTTCTGAGAAGTTTTTTCCTCCAAAATAAGCGCCAAGAAGAGCGCAGCTGGATCAGTGATCCGTAGAATCGGCATTCAGTGATCCATAGAATCGGCAGTTCTTTTTTCCTTTTTTCTTTTTCTTTTTCTTTTTTTCCTTTTTGACACCTGAAAGGCCACATACTACGCTAGTATTGTAGTGTCTTCTGACACAGGGTTGGCTCAGATGTCGGTTTCAGTTTTGCGACAAACACACACTACTAGAACTTTCGGGACGGAATCTGATCGTAACTGCGGTGTGCTTCTCTGCAGAATTGTCCTTCTGGACTGGTCTGACTGCAACTGTGTGTTTCATGCAACTGCAAGCTTTATTTCTGAGCGGAATCTGACCATAGTTGTGGACCAGGTTCAGTAGGCACGGAAAAGAGTTTCTACTGGGGAGGGGGGGGGGAGGGGGGGGGGGATGACACAGTAGCCATTCCCCAGKGGGAACTTCGGAGCAAGCTTAGTAGTTCCCCACTGCAGTGGTGGGCCCGCCACTTGGGCCCATTAACTGCGACCGCCCATGGTGGTACAGGACCACACTCTGTGTGTAATTTCTCTGGCCGGGAGGTGGGTAAAACTACCGTCCTCACCGGAACAGAACACCCTGTCATTATCGCTGTATCTGGACTGGAAATTCCACCAAATACAGGTATGATGACCGGGTGTTCTATTCGGGTGAAGATTGAAGGGCATCAAGGCACGCAGCACAAGGACAGACTGAGTGCGCCTTAGCACATAACGTCGCCCCGTCTTCTCACAAAAAAATTGACGCTCAGATAATGCCACGCAGTGCATTGTTCGGGAAGCACCTATGTGAGGGTGAGGTTATCTTTTTCTTTCTTTTTCTGTCTTTTTTTTTTTTTTTTTTTTTTTTTTTTGAAAGGAAAATCCCCAGCTATTCTGGGCAAGGGTGAGTTTTGACCAACATTGTTTTGAAGGTCAGCCGCTCCCTTTTCCTTCTCTTTTTTTTTGTGTTCATTTTTTCCCAATGATGTAAAGATAATTCCACATGCCAGAACTAACTCTACTGGGCATCGTACTACTGTCAAGTTGTCAATGCACACTGCTAGTCCAATCATATGACCAGTGAACGAATCACGCCAGAATCGCAACCAGATGCTTTGCGTCTGAGTCTGATCTAACCCGATGTACGTACGGTTACTGAATGATATGTCACAGTCACCCTCCCACCAACTGCCCTTTGTAAGATACCTTTTCTGAAGTCACCCTTTCTAAGATACCATTTCATATCCCACAATCCTTTCAAGATCGATTCCATTCCTCTCTCTCTCTCTCTCTCTCTCTCTCTCTCTCTCTCTCTCTCTCTCTCTCTCTCTCTCTCTCTCTCCAGGCTTTCTATCTTGTCTCTCTACACTCTCTCTCTCTCTCTCTCTCTCTCTCTCTCTCTCTCTCTCTCTCTCTCTCTCTCTCTCTCTCTCTCTCTCTCTCTCTCTCTCCAGGCTTTTGGCCCCTGCTATCAACTCCCTGTAGGCTACTACTAGATTTCTTTTCACCACCCACAGCATGTATACCTAGTAACCCCCATCCTGGACTGGAAGCAGCGTGAGCTGTAAGAATTGAGCTGCAAAGACGATCATTAGCATAAAAGACGATTAGACTCTGATGAACCTGTGAGACCCGAATGGTGCATCATGTGTGCATTAGTTAGTCGTCATTAACCGTTGATTTCAACACATAAAAGGATAGAATTGTGAAGGAAAGAAAGACAAACTACGAGAGCCGGTCGCATGTGTGCGTTACTTAGTCGCCATTTGGCCATTCAGTTCTGATCAGTTGATTTGGACGAAAGTCCAAGAGCCGGCTGTATGTAATCGTTATCCGTAGCCATTAACGGTTGAGTTCAACAGATAAAAGGATAGACTCGGAAAAAGAAAAAGCAGCGTCATGATCCACATGCACGTGTGCATTATTTACTCACCACCATTAACTGTTGGGGTCAAACGATCATGAGCCAACAGTTAATGGTGGCGAGAAACAGGAGAGAGAAATGTCGCGAGCCAAACGCATGTGTGCGTTATGTAGTCGCCAGGGCCCAGGGTGACTATTAAATGTTGAGTTCAACAGACTCGAGGGTAATTATAAGGGAAAGAGACATGGGAGAAAGCACAAGAGCCGAACGCATGCGTGCGTTATTTAGTTGTGGCCTCGATTAACTGTTGGGTTCGGAAGTCGGTCTTTGCCGGGTTCGGAGCTTGACCTGCCTGCGCGCTTTTTCCAAAAAATCGTTCGAGGCGGTTCGGCTTTCAAGCGTCAGCAAATCACTTGCAAGTTTGCATTTTTTTTTTTTTTCAGATCCACTGAACCTGGGTGCCTTCCTGTGGGGGCAGTCGAACGACTATTTGGCACAGCATGAGGGTCGTTTCCCGGGGGCGAAGGCATTAGGTGATGTGTTGATGCCCGTGCTTCTTTGTTGTTTTTTCCTCGCAAGTTTCGGTAGCTCAAAAAATTTCCACATGTAGGAAATTAGGAGAGCTTTGCTTTACTAACGAGCCTAGCTCAGTTCTTGTACACCCATAATAAACTGTTGGAATACAGACCCAGGTCCGAATCCAGATAATAAGAGAAAAAAGGAGAGCTTTACTTTCAAAAGCGGAGAGAAGAGGAGGCACTGATGTACTCCCTTGTCGTTTACCGGTGCGGCATGTTACTGTCGTACTTCTCTCTCTCTCTCTCTCTCTCTCTCTCTCTCTCTCTCTCTCTCTCGCGCGCGCGCGCGCGCGCGCGCTTTATTTTCCCTCTCCCCGTTCCCTCTCCTCCCCTTCTCTCTCCTATTCAATTTGTTAGACTCTCAGCAAATGACTTGCTAAGGTACAAGAACTGCATACTGGTTTTCTCTGGGAACGACACCAAGCCCAGGTGATGTGACCATCATCTTGTGTGTTGCTGATGCGTCGTCGAGTTCCATTCAGTTTGCTGTTCTCTACATCAGGAATTTTTTTGCATGACATTTTTTGGGGAAGAGGAGGGATTCGCTGCAGCTTCATAATTTGGCCTACCACCGAACCGTTGGACTCGCAGCAAACTACTGGTTATAATATTTTTAGAATGTTTTTAGAATATTTTTTAACGGTCTTCTCGGCCCATCGACGGGACACAGGTGGTGCGCAGACTAGTATTTCCAGATGGTCTCCTCGTCCCACCGGCGGGACACAGGTGGTGCGCAGACTAGTATTTCCGGATGGTTTCCTCGTCCCACTGGCGGGACACAGGTGGTGCGGAAGATCTTACATTGTCAGGAAGGCGAGATTCATTTAGTGAAACGTACTACCTACTACTAAGCATATTCATTCAGACAAAGGGGCTGCGGAGCAGTGTTCGAGTTGTATGTTACTATTAATTTTAGTCTATTTCTTCTTTTGTCTATTTCTTCTTTTGTGGCCTTCACAGTGTGTGTCAGTTAAAAGCACTAAAAACATAAACTCTGAAGTTCGATGGCTCTCTTCAAGTCTCTTTCCATTGTTTCTCAAGTGTGTGCATCAGTTTTTTTTTTCCTTTTTCTTTTTTGCAATCATGGTCCGTTCGTTGAGTCAGAGCTGCTATTCATTCACACAGTCAGACCACATGGTGTTTGCTCCTTCCCTTTCCATCCAATGCGTTCTTTCTTCCTTCTTTCATCTTCCTTCTTTCTTCCTTCTTCTTCCTTCTTTCTTCTTCCTTCTTTCTTCTCTTCTCATTGTCGCCTCTCCGCTCTTCTTTTTGCCCTCCTCGGCTTGTAACCCTTCTTAGAGTCAGAGCTACTGTTCACACAATCACGCATGGTATTTGTTCCCTCCTTCTCCACCCATTTACGGCATTGCGTTCTTCCTTCTCTTCTCATGGTTGCCTCTCTGCTCTTCACTTGTCCCTCCTTCAGCATTCTCTCTCTCTCTCTCTCTCTCTCTCTCTCTCTCTCTCTCTCTCTCTCTCTCTCTCTCTCTCTCTCTCTCTCTNTCTCTCTCTCTCTCTCTCTCTCTCTCTCTCTCTCTCTCTCTCTCTCTCTCTCTCTCTCTCTCTCTCTCTCTCTCTGTGTCTGTCTCTCTCTCTTCCCTCCTCCTTCCCCTGTTCGTTGCACTATCCTTTTGTGTTTTAGCAACGTTTTTTTGCCATGCTGTTAATATAGGATCAATGACATGCTGGTGATTCTCCTTCAATAGAAGAAAAAGGGAAACACTCCTAGTCTCCTGTGGAACAGAAGACTGAGTGCAAAAAAAAAAAAGCAGAAGAAGAAGAAGAAGAAGAAGAAGAAGAAGAAGAAGTGCAAGGCGCATTACATCGCACCCCAAAAAGATATGTAAACTGCTATTCAAGTTCACAATCACCAGATTGAATTTTATTTGTTCCCTTCGTTTTCACACCTTCTTCCCTCCCT